AACAAGGTGCACTTGCATATTTTTTACCTTAGTGTGATCAAGACTAATTACCTTCTAATGAGAAGACAAAACCCAGCTAGTACAGAGCAAATGTATTCAAGATAGCTGTTGGTGGACATAATTTAAACTTAGTTGGTCCGTGAAGTAAATAGTTCAAGCAATCCATATTTTGTCAACATTTCAAAATAATGGGCTTTATTTACAATTTCCTTATATAGTACTAGAAGCAGTTCCCTGATGTCTTAATGTAAAACGTAGTAAATTGATAAGTTGGTGCATTTACTTAAGGTGGATTTGGATCAGACTCCACTAAAAACAAATTCGGTGTTTGGGAGGTTGTAGAGATAATAGGAAATTATATCTGGACTGTCAGTGTAAATTTGATAGTGTAGGGCACTGTAATTTTAATACCTCTAATATTAACTATAGTGATTAAAATTTTTCAAGAAGTATAACCAGGTTGGTGTAGTGTTGAAGACATGTTATGCTGTTCTGTGGAATCTTTGTATACAAAACATTTTACTGTTCACATCAGGCATCAGCCTACAATGTCCGTTGTCAAATTACACTTAGTGGTGAGTAGTATGTACATCCTTGTTGTAAATCAGGCTTGGACTTTAAAAACTAATCTTAATAAGCAGATGCTTATGCTGAGAATGGATAGGGGAGAATGAGCATTAGCAATGTCCTGGCTTTAAAATGTTTCTGCAGAGCTTTCACATATTCCTTTGCTCTTTTTGATCAAGCTTTCTGTTCTTTTGTCATAACCTTGATAGTTTGTTCTTTGCCCTTTCACGTCTTGGTAGTTTTGCTTTCTCTTTCTCTGATTAAGTTTTCATTCTCCTCCTCCTTTGAATTGCAATAAGCAGACTTCTGGCAAATAGGAAACTGCTGTTCTGGTCTCTGCACACAGGCTGCCTTTACTCTTTTCCTCCAGCAGCTGCTGTTCTGGGGATGATCTTAACCTCACTTTTTTTTTTTGTTGATATTTAATTTCATTTCTAGAAGGGATGTTGTCTTATTAGATACTGGAATAGGTGGACTGTGCAATGGTCCCAGTCTGAAAAGATACAGGATTTGTAGGACATTTGATACATTTGGGGAGTTAGAAAAGAAAAATCCAATTAAAATACATAGCTGTGGTAGTCACTGAAATCTAGTGGGTAATTAAATGGAAGCTGCTGGCCTGTTCTCTGAGGTAGTTTTGGCCTGTTTTATGTGTTCTGTTATGTGTGATATTAAGTAATAGAAATGAGGGATTGAGAGTATGCAGGCACAGTTAGTTTTAATGAGCATGAGTTTCTTCAGTGTGTCTGTCCTGAAAGAGAATGCTGGAAATACTAAGAAATTATTCAATCATTTGTGTGTTTCCACAATGTGTTTTAGAGAAAAAGATGGCAGCTTAGTGTAAGAAAACTTTCCAGATGAGGCATGCTGAGCTCCATTTTACTTGATGTACAGTATGCCAAATTATCCATTATTGCTTTTTCTTTTTGTGTTAGAAAATGATGCTACATTGACCTTTTCCAAGTAAGAAGCATTTTCCTTATTACATGCTCAGCAACTCATGCAGTTATCTCAGAATTGTGTATGGCATGGGCTTGTTCTGGTCTTGGTAAAGGGTGCAGTAATGCATCATTTAAAGTTATTTTTCCAAAAACTCAGTTACATTTGAAAGGAGAAGTGAATTTTGGAGATCAGTGTCCAGTGGCTTCCTATTACGGAGGTAAATGAAGTTGTTTTTCTTTCTGGTGTTAATAGAATTAATGTAACTAACAGCTCTTATAATAGTATCTGTATGTTGATACAATGAATACAGTATTAATGGGAAAATACATTGAAAGTTTGAGTCTTGATTTAAATTTTTAGTTTGACCTTGAAAAATATTCCCAGATGGAGAGAGTTAAATGAGCCCAGCTTTGAAAGAGGAACATATGAATCACAGTTGCCAGGCTCTTCCTTGAGAGGCACAGGCTTTACATAGTGAAGTATTTAAAAAAATAATCTTCAATCCAGAGTAACAGTGCATTGAGATGACACTGGTGAAATTCTAGAAACTTCATTAGACTTCTAAATAGGGAATGTGCATGTCATGAAGTGGCTCAAGTAGAAAGTATTAGATGTTAGAATACCAACTGCACGATATATGTGAACTTCCCTAAGTGGCTGATAGGGAACAGAAAAATTGGGCATCCATCACCTACTCCTGGAGCATGCTTACTATATAAATTTTGTTAATCTCTTCTGTATGCTGTTCTCTGAAATTGTCATGGTCTTAATTTGTCACTCCCTAACAGTGCCACATAGTGTTTGTCCTGTTGGAACACAGAAAGAGAAGTAAGATTTCCCTGAAACCTGCTCTTGCCCTGCTCAGCTAATGGCATGAGGCACATTAAAGATGTGAGAGTTTACCTTCCTAAAAATGAGGTTCCTGGATTGGGAAGTATGGACTCAGGTCTCTTCCAGTTGCCTTAAATTATCTTGGTTGGGTCAAAGTCCTTACAGTTTCAAAGCCATTGTTAAATTGCATTTAGGCTTCTTACCTTTGCTACTCCCTCCCTGTTTGTGTTGAGATGTTGTTCTGATATCAGTGCTGTAGGAGACCACTGTGGGGTGCAAGACCTTTTGCATTGATTTGTGTGATCTGGCTGGAGTCTTGTGAATGACTTCCTTTGAAATCAGTTGTGATTTGGTGTGCAGCGAATTTTTTTCTCTGTGTCAAGTGGTTTTACTCTTAGAATGGTCCTTTGTGAGTTTGTGTATTTCCTGGCATTCTGTCACTTGGAGCTAGGATTTTAAAACTGAAGGTATTCCACAGTGTAAAGGACCTTTGTAAATTATTCAGATTTCTTGGGATCCTCAAACTGAACTAGGAAAACACTTTTGTTTGCATCAATTTCTGTCAGTTGGTCTCAGTTGCCATTTAAAATGGCAGTTCTGTATTGCCAGCAAATATTCATGGAAGGTTTCTTAGAGCAATGGCACACGGATGTGGTGTCTCTGACTGATGTGAAGGAGTGCTTTATCTTGCAGTCCTCTCTTGTTAACAATTCCTTCTGTATTCAGTACAAGCTGGTGTGAAGTCTGGGATGCAGCACAGTCTGAAGGCACAGCTATGGGAACAGGTTCCCGGGTGTGGATTTACAGTTGCCTCAGCATCACACAGCCTCTCTGTGGGCTATTAACAATGTAAATATCAGGCACTGCATGCTGTTCCTGTCCCATTCATCTCAGCTGCTGGTGAAAGTGACCCTGGAGTATTTGCTTGTGTGTATAAACTTTGATACATGGGCATACCCAAAGAGAATACTCCTACATGAAATATTAGCAATGACATTTAAGCTTATGCTTGTTTTCATACATAGCTTAATATTACATCACAGAAAGTAGATATTGAAAAATAGAAGCTTATTCCTACCTGATTTTTCCCCCCTCAGCATATATTTACAATTTTGTCTGGCTTGCAGTAGTTGGGCGTGTCACAGGTTTTCATGCTTTTTTCAATAAATTTTATATAAATAAATAAGCAAGAGTTGCTATTTAAAGTGCAGATGAGATTATTTGTTTACTTGATGTAACCTCAGTTGTGTAAAGGTGTCTGTGATTTAGGTGAGGGTAGCTGTGATCTCAGCCAAGTTAGATGTCTTTGGTCATTGCATTTGCATCCAACTGCAAAATCCAGTTGGGGCTGTTATTGCAGGTGTCATGCTTAATTTTGATGTAGCACTAGCAAGATGTGTGGAAAATGGGATAAACCTTATATCTTCTAAATAATTTTTTTGCATTTTTTTATTATGAAGATACATACTAATTCTGGAAGTAGTTTTGGTGTGGTTATATTCTCTGTCTGTGAGGAACAAAGTGGACAGGGCTGATGGTGTCTTTCTGTGAGCAGTTGCCTTGAATTATGGCACACTTAATGTGCAACACTCAATTTATTTCATAATTGCTGTTCTATTAATGAACAAAGCAGTGGATGTTGCTAAAAGTATACATAGGCAAATTAGTAGCTGTAAAACAAAACTGTGGGGTCAGTTCTAGCACAAGAGTAAACAAGTTTAACTAATTTTCTAAGTTTCTATTAAAATAAATCTATTACTTGAGAGTTTTTATAAGAAAATAAGTTTACGTATGTCAATTTTTAACCTTTAAATAGTGTTACAGATCCTTAGGCACATTATGTTTGCAGTTTGGATTTTTTGTCTTTTAATGATTGAATAACATTTTTAGATTATAAATGTAATATACTTTTAAGTTTTGTAGTGAATGCTGAATTTATTGCTCCAGTAGTCTCTGAATGCAATTAAAACTGTTAAATATATTCTTAACAAACTGTGTTCTTCAAAGTAAAATTGTAGAAACTAATTTTATTTGTAAAAGTCTCCAAGTATGTGTGTTATCTCCGCAATCCACACATGCTCTGACATACTGTTATCTCTGGTTCTGTCTCCTGTGTAGCTGTTCCATGGATCTCTGGCAGCAGATGGCTGGACTATAATGCACTGTTAAACAAATAAAACCATTAGGCATGTAATTCAGCCCGGTGAATGACTGTGTGTTTAAAATGGTTTAAAAAAATTAAATAGCAAATGAAGTTCACTTTTGAATTCATTTAATGACGTTGGAATAAAATCTAAAGCCCTTTTCAGAATACATAAAACATCCCCTCTTGTGTTTTGTTTGTCTCAATTGAAGTCAGTCATTTTTTATTGCATTATTGCATCTGGTATAAAATAATCAGTCCTAAATCAGTTTTCTAATAGATGTTTTCTACAAGTAATCACTCATTTTACATTTATCTTTGTAGTAAGATTTTTGCTTTTGTAATACTCCAGCACAAAATTATCTCTTGCATTATATGCTCTTTTTTCCTCATTTTCAAATTTGATACAAATGTCTCTAAAATTTTGATTCAACACTAGTGTCATGGCTCTGTAATTAAACTGTTTTTCTATAATTGTCAGCAGCTGAGAGATGCCATTTTGTCTTTTTGTTTTTAGATATGCCAATATTTGGTCTTTGCCCGGCTCATGATGATTTCTATTTGGTGATGTGTAACCACTGTAATCAGGTCGTAAAACCACAGGCATTTCAATCACATTATGGTAAGTGCTTAACTATTTTTAATAATTAAGGGTGAGGTTAAATCAGGATTAAGCCTGGCAATTTTTTTTTAAATTGATGGTAAATAGATCATTAAATTATAAAAAATGTCAAAGAACATAACCTTTATTTAATAATTTTATGTACATTGTAATGCAGTTACATAAAGATCTTGGTTTTTTAGTTTTTTGTTTTCTTGAAATGCTGCATAGCTACAGTTCAGTTCCAAAATGACATATCTCGTGTATTTCACAGCCAATATGTGTAGTGTGTTTGTGTCTCTGTGTGTCATTTCTCTTTGTGTATTTAAACAGATTATTTTTGCATGGGTTCTGGTACAGTGTGAACTTGAACTGAAAACTAAACTTACAGTGAAATTTATAAAATGTAGTAAGCTTCCAATAGCCAGTAAGCTTATTTATTTATTTTCAGAATTATCAATTTGTATTTGTTTTACTGGTCCAGTGGTTTTGTATATAAACTGTATAAGGAAACTGTTGTTGTGTTGGCTGGCCGATGTTTAGAGAGGACTGAGAAAATGTGAAGTGCTATGCCAGTTCAAGTGCTTGGTTACTTCCTCCAAGCCTGACTGGGGGTGGTTGGCAGTTCTGCTTTTCCATGCTCCTCTCAAGACTAGAAATTAACCTCAAACAGTTTAATGCAAATATTTGGATAGGAGGTTTTTTGGAATTCAGCTTTTTGTTTCTTACATGAGGGGTTTTCTGGCCAACTCCTAATAAACATGATGGACAAAGCATCTTCTGAGCTGGTCCTTCCTCCCCATGTGTGCATGTATTTGTACACTGTCTCTTTTCTCCAGGCCAGTGTCCCTGCTGGGTGGCTTGGTGTTTATAGGATACAAGCTGGGTATGGGCAGGGAACCTCTTCTAGTGTTGAGAAAAAGGGATAACCTTTTGTGCATCTTAAATAATCCAATGCTTTGGCAAGAAAAGATAAGCTCACTTGTGCTTCCTCGAGACTGGAGAAGGGCCATTCTGGACTGTGCAGAGGGTGAACTTCTTATCCTTTCTCCCTCTAACTTGGCTTTGTGTTATATTGCCTTATGGATTATATAGCCCTGCCCTTGCTGCTGGATCCTGCAGTAGTGTCACACAGCGTGACTCAGAAAATAACCTGAGTAGGTTTTGTGTCATAATTCTTCATAGTTTGCTTGTTACTCTGTGGATGGCTGTACTAATAATTCTTTTTAAACCCACGGTTTTGTGGCTATTAGTCTCCAGAGCTGTTGGGAGCCAGAAGAAGAAAAGACCATCTTGCTTTTCTTGCTCTGGTTGCTGTAAGCCTTTCCACTAGCCAAGAGCAAGTGTACCCCTTGCCAGTGAGATTCCTCACGTGTCACTGAATATCAACTTAAGATGTCCAACAACTCCTTCTAAAATATCATATTAAACTGATTCTGACAGCTAAAAATAAATTTATGGGGGAGGACTGGATGATACTGAGTGATGGCATATTGAATATTCCATCTTGAGGTCAGTAATATTGTAGTGATGGGGAGCTGTGGATAGCTGCAGACACTTAAGGTTGTCTTTATGAAATGAGCAGGCGATTTCCAAACTCTGTCTGACAAACAGGTGTCTGGTAGGAAGCAGCAGTGTGTTTGTCCTTATGGACAGGGGGCAGAAGCAGCTCAGGAGCTGCAGAGGTGCAGCATTGTGTCTTGAGCACAGACATGGAAACATGGCATGTTGTAATGCTGCTTGTACTGCTGTTAGACTTGTCATGTGAAGTTAATTCCAGCTCTTCTGTAAGCACTGTTTGCAATTTAAAAGGCACAGAGTGAGCAGGGAACTGCAAAATGAAGGTATGGAAAGTATTTTTAAAAGTCGTGATAAATGCTAACATAATGTTTCGATTCTGTATCACTTTGTAGAAGTGTGATCCCTAAATGTGAAAATTTCTCTAATACAAGCTTTACATCAGTGGCACACTCATACTTTAGGAGCAGTGTAGAAGGAGCAGATAGAAATGATGAGGTTATTCTTAGTGTTTCTTAAGCCTGTTCTGAACAATGAAGAGTCTTGGCGTGGGCTGTGGCGTGCAGAGGAAACAGGCGGGGTCATTCTGATGAGAAAAACAGGCTTGGGTGGGGTGAACATCATTAAAGGACCTTAGTTTGCCAATCTCATAGCCTCAGAAAGGTAAGAAGGCTGACTTGGTGATTTTGTGTAGTACTAGTTCTATCAGCCTTCCCATTTTTTAAATCCTTGCACATTTGTCCCTTAATTAAAAAAATTAAATATAGCAGGTGATTGATTACCAGGCAATGATCTATTTTTTTAAACAGTATAGGTCAGGAGAAGGAAATTGCTGAAGTCCTCAAAACATGGTTATTTTAAAACAAAATGGGTATTATCATGATAACAAGAAGGTAAAGCACTCTTTGGATTCACCACAGTCAATTCACCCTGAACTAAATTTTTTATTGATGGTATGATTTCAGGAATTGAAAAATTCTGAAAATTTGCAGTCCATCAATGTATCTTTTTGTTATGTTCTTAGGGTATTTTATTTTTTATTGTTGCCAGAGAAGTATTAATCTTTTAAAATATTCTATAGCTCCTGGTGGTGTGTGTTGCTGTACTTGGTGTTCTTTGAAATTTGTCATGTGAAATTTTGTTTTCTGAAGTAGTAGAAATGCTCTGTTAAAATGCCACTTTTGTCAAAGGAAAGCTAAACAAACTATTAGTTAAACCTAATGAGCTAATTAATTTCTTCCAAAGCATATTTGTGATAAATTACTTAACTAGGTAGGCTGAAAGTGTTTTGCAGGACATATGCTGGCTTTTTTCTCTGGACCATAAGAAGTCAGAAATAATTTTAATGTAACCTGATTAATTAGAATATATAACCTTTTTAGTAAAATAATTTATTGATACAAATGACAGATTTGTTTATGTAACTGATTCTTTTCTATTTCATGCATTTGACCAGAAAATATATTAATATAAAATAAAATTCTATTTGTTTAGTCAATCCAAGCATGTGTCTGGGCTATGAATTTCCATTTTAATAATTTATGCAGTGGTGTTGATATATTACTATGCTTGATTTGTAAAGCTGGTATGTGTAACACCAATGCAGGCTTGTTTTTAAGAGCAATCTAATATAGTGAGATATCTTTAGTCGCTTGTGGCATTCCTTCTAGCCTGTGTACAGTAGCTGGCTGGCAGGGCAGTCCAGTGGCTTTAGCCCCTTGGCTTGGGGACATGGTGGGGCAGGAGCAAGCCAGCCAGCCAAGGAAAAGTTGTTTCAAGACAAATCCTCTGTTCTGTCAGATCACAGCTGTTTTCATTTGGGGGGCCAGGCAAGTGATTGCAGCCCTTTATTGCTCCTGTTCCTGCTGTTGCTTTGTGAATGGCTACACTTTCATGGTATCAGCATCTTCCTTAGATGAGTCAAGATCAGTTCAGAGGTGAAAGATAGAAAAAAGATAAAATGTTCAGGCACCGAATCTTGTGGGTGAAGCACCTGGGATCACTTATCATGATGACCTATTCCCAGAAAGTGTTTTTCTCCAGGAGTGTTTCTCTACACCCTGGATGATGGTGTGCCAGCTGTCACGTTCCTCAGGACAGGGATGTGCCCGTCCCTCTTTGATTTGTTCTTTCCTCTCCAGAGACATGGTAGATACAGGTCTTGATCTGCACCCAAAGGCTGCTCTTTGAGGAAGCCATTGTGACAGTTATTTCAGGTTGTTCGTGGAAGCCCTGAAGTGCCGTGGTTTTCAGGCTGTGTGACCTTTTGTTGGCATTTCAGCTGTTCCACAGGTTTATCTCATCTCCCTGTGGTTATCAGCCTCCTGGCTAATGAGAGCTGCTTCTCTGCCCTGGCTGGGCTGCTCTGTGCCTAAGAGAGAGCTCAGCAGTGTGAAAGGAGCATCAGCATAGAGATTTGTGGGGTTTCTTCCTCCTTTCTTTTTTTTTTTTCCAGAGGTTTTTTTCCTCTTCTGTGCCTCAGTTTCCATGAATACAAAGTAGGGTTAAACTCTCAGCAATAATAATGAAGGCTACCTGTAAAACTTACACTGAGAGTGCCTGTGACTCACGTAGTGATTGTGAAAACCATGAACACAGTACATGTTGGAAAGAGATGATGATAGTGTGTTGGGCTGTTGAGTCATTAAAAAGCTATGTCAAGTGTTTTGATTAACTTCCATGGGTTTGGCACGGTGGCAAAGGTGAGCAGCCACCGTGAGCTTTGCCTGCTGCTGTCCTGAGAGCTGATGGGGAATTGCTTAAACATTTTGGTTTCCAATCAGTGCAGGTTTAAACCTGAAGTGTATGAATCAGAAGTGGGGTTGCTATACATCTGTTGTGGTTTCTAGGAAGTTGTGGAATTGGAATAGAGCATCACACAACCTTATATTGGGAGGACAGATCCTGGCAATAGAGAAAGAGATGTTTGCTGGTTACTTGGGTCCATCCTCCAAGTCTCTTCCAGGTCTTTTGTGCTTCTCCTTCACCTGATTGTGTAAACCGAGGTCCTTCCTCCCTCAGCCAGGACCCACACCCACCTTTCATCTGCAGGTCTCCCAGAGTCCTAAAAGGGTTTTTTTGTGTAGGTGTTAAGTGCCTGGATTCAGACACAACACGTGATACTTGTGATTTTAATTGAGAAAAATGATCTGTTAACTACCTCTGTTGGAGCGCTGATGTATTTTGGATGTGTATCATACATAACTGAAGTATTACAGTCCCTGCAGCGTTACCTGTTTGGGTTCTTCTCACACTATGAATTGAATATAAATTTGTCCTACTGTATTTTTGTTAAATGTGGCAGCAGCTAATTGTTCTGAAAAATCTGTCAGTATTTGATGTTTTTAAGTTGTTGTGGATGTATTGTTTGTTTAGTGTAGAATAGGAGAGTGTGTTTAGCATGGATTCATGGATTACAAAGTCAAAGATAAAGTGTCTGTACAAGACAGCATTTGAAGCTGATAAGAAAAGAAAGGAATGTACTGAATCTTGTTCCAAAGCCA